AAAGATCACAATTTGCCCACTTATCAGAGTCGGAAAGAAAAGAAAGCTATCATTTATTCAACAAGCGTTTAATGTGTAATTATACACCAAGCTATTATCTTTCATAGATACAAGAGTGTTAAGTGAAACTTAAGAGACAAAGAGAAGACATTCAAAAGTTTATTTACCAGTCTAATTTGTTATGTACCAATTATAATAGTTTTTATTTAATAATCTATATAAACAAAAAGGACCTATAGGATAAGAAAATGATTAAACAGGTACCACCTCAAAAAACTGTGAGGCAAAAGGGGCAACACATGCACTCAAGTCTCTTCAGACATAAAATAATCTTTACTGTTTCTAAAGATCCCCAGAAAAAGTCAACTATATAATCCTTTCAGTGGATGTTCCAATGTGTAACTCTCCCTCTCAGCAAACACACTCGAGACTTTCTATGGGTTACAAAACCATGTGGGGCCCACAATTCCTTGTGGTGATACTGATTATGCCATCCTGCAGGGGCAGAGAGCTTCTTTTCTACCCTTCGGAGGATACTCTAGTCTGAACTTGGATTAAACGTTCTATTCTTCAACACCCCATGTGCCACCCCTCAACACCAATCTGCCAAGAAGAAAGCAGGTGGGTCCTAATCTTTTAGTTACTTAAACTCTGCCTGGGCTGGCATGATAAAATACCACTGAGAGAAACCTAAAAACATTATAGTCTCAAAGTGAATATGAACAATTTTTATTCTCTGCTATATAAATAATGACATTTAAGAAATCTGCACCCGACCAGGCGTGGCTCAGCGGTTGAGCATCGACCTAGGATCCAGGCGATCAGGGTTCGATTCCTGGTCAGGTCACATGCCCGGGTTGCAGGCTCGATCCCCAGTTGGGGGTATGCAGGAGGCGGCCAATCAACGACTCTCTCATCACTGATGTTTCTATTTCTCTCTCTCTCTCCTTCCCTCTCTCTCTGAAATCAATAGATATATTTAAAAAAAAAAAAAAATCTGCTTCATTCACCTAGCAAATGTATACTGAATCCTTACCATATGCTAAATCCTGTGACAATGTTGCAACTCTGTTGTTCAAGTTTCATAAGTGACAGCTATGTGGCCTATTCCACTAGGCAATGAAGGACCATAGCTATCTTCCACTTTCAGCATATTAGAATGACAAAGTAGAAATTTTCTGTTACAAGTCTTTTTAAAAGGAGTTATTACATAGCAAAGACTGAAAAAAAATGGTTTCCAAACTTCAGCATGCACCATCACCTACTGGCTCAGTGGATCTAGGGTGCGGCCTGTTAATTTGCATGTCTATCAAATTCCCAGGTGATGCTGCTGATGGTTAGGAGACTATACTTTGGATCCACTGCTCTAGGTCAGGGGCTGGCAAACATTTCCTATAAAAGGTCAGATAAATATTTTAGGCTTTGTGGGGCCATACAGTCTCTTTTGCAACTACTCAAAGTGCAAAAGCAGTCATAGACAATATGTAACCAAATGGCTGTGACCATGTTCCAATACATCATTATTTATAGACAATGAAATCTGAATTTCATATATTTTTCAAAAGCATATTATTCTGATAATATCTTTTGATTTTTTATAACTATTTTAAAATGTGAAACCATTCTTAGCTTGTGAGCCATACAAAAAAACAGGCAATGGGTTGAATCTGGCTCATGAGCCATAGTTTGCCAATCCCTGTTCTAGCTGAAGGGGTTAGTTCTCAATCCTGCTCCTCCTCAGAAATACTTAAGCCCCACCCCAAGAGATTCTGAATTAATGGGTCTAAGCCCTAAGGTGATTCACACATATAACAAGGATGAGAACAGCTGCTCTTAATGTTCCCCCAAGTGACTTCTAAGGATATTTAAGGTTTAATAAGCCTTACATGAACAAAGATTTCTGGGGTCAGGTAAGTTTGAAAATAAGGTTTAAAAGTTTTTTTTATTGCAGAATTTCTCACAATATTCTCACAAATCTGTGAGAGGGGACTGTAGTAGGCAATGTTTTCCAGATTTATTTGACCATAAACACATGGATCTATTATTGTATGAAACACCTGAGAAACACTGCTCTAAATCTTTCATAAAGAATACCAGATACTTAATACTTAAGTTCATATAAGTACAGCAAAATATGAGAGCAAAAATTAACTGAAAAATGAGAAATACAGTTGGTTATTGTCAAAACAAAAATTTTAAAAGTGAAACTCCTGTAAAACAAATTAAAAATTCAAAAAACCACAAAATAACAGGCAATTATTTTAAAAGGGAGGGGAAAATACAATGATAAATTTGAAAGAAAAAAAAAAATCAAGGTCAAAGATGGTTTCTACAATGTCAAACCTAATACAAAAGACATAGAAAATCTGAACACATCAATAACTCTGAAAGAAACTGAAAAAGAATGATCAATGCCCTCAAACCCCCATTCAAAGAAAAGGAGATAATGATACAGGGTTTCAATAGATTTACCGGTATATGTTCTCAAACCTTTCAAGAACTTGGTAAGTCCTTGATAAACCCAATTTTAGCATTATCTACTGGCCAGATAGATACACAGTAGGCACTTAACAAATACAGTAAACATATTTTTGAGAAATACATTCAAAACAATGTCAGAAACAACTTTATTCCAAAAAAGAAAGTAAAAATCTTTATCACATCATTTCCATGGTACCAGTAGCAATCAGTAACATGCCCTGAAGCATTAAACTGCTTAGGTTCTTCCTATGCTACCCTACACAAGGAGAAAAGATGCAACAGTATACAACAGAAAGGAGGCAAAAAGCTACCAGGAACCACTGAAAAGAAAAGTAAGTGAAACTAATCCCTCATTCCTTTCATAGCTTCTTACACCAGAGCGTCCTAATGACCTATATGACTAACTAAAAGGACATTTTCCTGACATGATGAAAGACCAAAGCATGAGCTATTAATGTAGCAAAATAAACTCTATATACTAGTGAACTCTGCAGGTAACACAAATGAGACAAATAACTTATAGGGAACTGGATGTTTGTTATCTTACTGTTTGACGTGGTTAATGCCCACAAATGCAGCAACAGCCTAGTGGTACCCTTCAGGCATTACGGACCATGCTATCCAAAGAATGGCATGTGAATATCAACAATGATATAAAATAAAAGCATTTCTACATTCAAGCAAACTTACAGAAACCTAAAAGTGCCTGATTAATGAGTTTCAGAGTACAAGAAAAGACTCATATTGCTAATTCATTGTAAGCAGAATTTCACTAAATCCTCAAATCTAAAATATGAAAACAGGTTTTAAAAATACTTTAAATAAAAAGATCATTTCTATCAAATATTTTAATAGGAACAAATGAGCTTCTAAAATTCTAAATAAAATTGAGTCAAGATTAAAGAAAATGAAGAAAAGTGAAAAAATACTATTTTTAGATGACATGATAACCTATCTAGAAAACCTAAAATACCTGGCACAGCATATAGTCAGTGGAACATAATTCTGAGATCACCATTATCAGATTTCTTTTCAGAACATATTGTCCTCTATAGTAGACAAGTATACCAGATCTCAACTTATTCTTTTTTTTTCCCCCCACAACTTATTCTTAATAGAGGTAATCTGAAAAAAGAACTGTATCTGAGTTGAAAATAGTGAAGTATAGGGCCAAGAAAGATAAGTTAATTGAAGTTATAGAACTGACAAAGGCCAGAGGATGATCTGAATCCTTCTGTAATTCCCAAGCTTGTACTTATTCCACTTCACCAGTGTCACAAGGCACCCTTGTTTTAACAGATATTTTCTGAACACCTACTATGCACCATGCACAGGAGTACAAAAATGAGTAATAAATCAAGTTTTAAAGATACCTAAGTTAAATCAATTGCCCAATTATTTGGTTTAAGACCTAGGTCTCCTAATTCCAACTTCAATGATCCTCCCACCACATAGTCATTACATATCTAAAAACCACATATTCTAACATGCAAAGTATTGTTCTTCCTATGTGTAATAAACACCATTTAATGCTAGAGATAATTCCAAAATTATTACTGTAGAAGATTATTATTCTAAGAGTACCAAAAAGAGTGACAATCCACACAAACAACTTTTTGGTGTGCTTTTGAGGCATCCTCAGTCCTGAACACACACAATAAAAGGTGAAAAAAATTGGGGGAGGGGGTTAGGGGAAGAGCTGAGTTCTAAGTCAATTTCCAAAGCAAACTCATTCAGTTCAGGTATAGCACATTCTAAAATACATCACCTGCACGCTTTCTACTTATATTTTAATGTAATCACTTAGAAACATGAAAATTTAAGTGACTTAAGATAGTCATTCTCAGCAATCTTCTAAGAAAATTTCAGGTAATTTAACATCTGTACAACTTGGAGAAATGTGGGCTTAAAAATAATACAGTTCAGTGGATTTATGTTGGAATGAACATCCATAATCATTAACAAATCTGCAAAAGGCTCTGTATCTGATCTTACCCTGTTCAACATTCCTATCACGGACAAGATGAAGACCCAGAAATTATACTGAAACATCAGAAAAAACCTTCAGAAAATCACCAAATTCTCTTTCATCTCTCCTGTTCAGCAAAGTAGAACCCGCAGCTGGCTATCTGTCATATTGAGACAAGGGAGAAGTATAAAAACCAAGCAGGGCTTTCCAAAACAACTCGAGGAAAAACTCCCATGAAAATGTCCTAATCATATGGACCAAAGGAGGAAGTAACCCATCCGGGAAACGAACTAGGGTGCAGAGTTAAAACAGAACGACTCCCATCACCTTCCAACCAATCTATAAACGATAAACATGCGGAGATTCTGACCACTTTAGAAGAAAATAATACCCAGGGATATTTGAACTTTAAAAATCATTCTTGAGATAAAGTAATTCCAGTATAAACAGAAAAGTGATTTTCTTGTAACATTGGTGACCTCTGGCCAAGTAAAATTATGATCAAAGTATTTTAAGGTAAGGTTTCTTTATAAGTAAAAACTATACTTACCACAATCCACTCAGCAATGTTTTCATACAGCTCTGGACTGAAAATTGCCTTTTTAAGCCTAGCTAAAGGACCATCAGCATCTACTAATCTGCACCGCATGAAAACATCACAGTAGCCTCTAAAATCATTGCAAGGAGATCCAGGTTGCAGGGTGATGGTTCGACCCATGAAATGCTTGCTCCACTGCACAGACCCTGTACTGGCACAAGTTGATAGGTCCACTGGAAAAGAAGTGCCAAATATAAGTTGAAGATCAGATTTCCTAATGGGCTAGTTGGGGAGAAAGGGAATAAAGGAAGAAACTGCCTAACATCACTATCATGACATGTTGCATACACTTTCATTAGTTAGGCTAGACAACACCACTGGTAATTCACCTTAAATGTAACAATATAAGTAAACAACCAGCAACTCTTGACTTAGTGCCTACAATGGCTTTAAAATCTTTTAACAGTGTTTATATTAATTATTTCTATAAAACTGACAAGTTTTTTGTCTAGTTTATCATTTTGAAAACACTGTAGAGACCTAATACTAGAAACACAATGCTAAGCTACATTTAAAATTTTTCTCAAGAGGATCATTTTAGCTGGAAATTATCTGTGCAAAGTGCATATCAAAGTTTAACACTTAAAATATAAGAGGAAATAAGGTGTTCGAAACAAATTTTATACTCTTCTTATATTTTAAAAAGTCTTACTCTTCTTCATACAGCAGACATGGCATAATTCCTTATCATCTTTGCTATCAGAACCGGCACAGGTACACTCCTCCAAGCCATATTTCTCACAGATAGAACCTGCACATTGCTGAAAGAAAAAGAGAAGATCAATTATTTAATCCCTATACAGTCAAGCCTATTTACTGTTCAGAGTAACAGACAGGCAGATATAAGCCTCCAATGCTAAAATAACTAAGTAGAAATACAAACTGGGGAAGAAAGCAAAGATTAATATCAGAAATGGATAATGTAAACACATTTGAAAAAGAGTAAGTGCAAATAAGATAGTACATCTCTTAAAGAAATAGCAACTTTTAAAAAATCTTTACAAAGCAAAAACAAAGAGTAGATGAGCATCAATTTTATGTTATTAAGGCTCCTTCATAAGAAAAGAAAAATGAACTTTTCCTCATGTAGAAGAAAGTGATCATTTAATCAGGAAAGCTTTAAAGGCTTCACGTTCTTTTATTTAGGCTACTTAAAGATATTAATTTGTAAAACTCAAAAGCAGTACAAAGTCACATGACTAGTTGTTTAACTATTTTTCTCTCGAGAATATCAAACACACACAGTGGGAAGATGAAAGGCAAGTCAGTAACTAACAGAATGCCACCAGCTATATACTGCATTATGGCTTTGGGAGGAAATAGATAGGAATATTATTGAAACAGGGACAGAGATTAATTACTTTAACTATACAGCTTTAAGTGTCAACAACTATTCTGAAAAAGCAGATTTTATAAAACTAAATTAAAAATATATAAATCAAATGCTTACCCCATTAATGCATACTTGTGTATGCCTATTACAGTCTGTAAAGTTTGGTTTAGGGTCAGATGCTGGGCAGAGAGCGGTAATTCCATTACATATTCCTTCTTTAGCACAGTCTGAATCATCCCGACACTTTTCAGTTTTTGACTTAAATGTACACTGTGCTGTACAACATGGACCTTGGCTTGGACTAGAAGAAACATTAAATGATTTAAGAAAATCACTAGGATAATTCTTATGTATATAGATACAGTCCTAATTTTTAAATGATAAATCTCATGTTTTAAGTGGTATGTTACTGATATACAACTTCAAGTATTGGATTAATAGGCTATTGAATTTCAACATTCTAGTAAGTGTAGAAAAGTGACTGTCTTATTTTTATAAGCAAGGTATTCTTATCCTATTTGTTGTTAGTGAAAGGTTATAATATAAAATGGATTTAGTATTAGGCAAGTTATCAGTGTTTTTCATAGTTACATCATACATTAGTCAATTTATCAATTTCCTCCCATTTATATGCTAAAATCAAACTAGGCTAAACAGACCAGTATTGCACAAACAATATTCTATTGCTTATGTCAATTACTATCAAAGTAATATCACAAGTGAAGTAATTATATGATACTAAGTCATAAAAGTGTATGGAATCTATATTACTTAAATATTTAAAATTAAGATTCTGAAAATATGGACAATAGTCCTATTTTTAAAGAATTAAATAAAAGGTATTTTATTGAGCATCCTTGGCATGTCTTTTTTAACACCCACCACACAAATTACAATTACTAGTAGTTCAATCTGCCAACAACAGTGCACTAACCAATGCTATGGAATAGAAAAAATATATATTGTGAAAAAAACAAGTAAAACAAAACAACAACAAAGTTTCGAAACCATATGCATCTCTTAATCTGTTTTAAATTTGTCATAACTGCATTCAGATGGCTTTATAGGAACATAAACATAACTGAATTAGCAAGGCACCTGCACTGTTTTCCAGGTTTTAGCTTGCATTTTTTCCCCTCGGGCTGGTTTGCATCATAGCAGCAATCATCTTTACACTGGTCACTATAGCCACAATCACATTCTTCACCTTGCTCCACCATTCCATTTCCGCAAATAGGTTGGCCAGATTCTGGAGAAAATAAACAAGACAAACTAAGCATTGTACGCACACATTAATTTGATTTAAAATTCACAAACTCTCTGGAGGCTCATATTAAAGGAGAAAGGAAAGCCTTGATGTGTAAGAAAGGTAGAACAATCTAGAAGTTTGGAAATTAGGAGACCTAATTCTAACACTGGCTCAGTCACTAACTAGCAATGTGGCCTGGGCAATTTGCTTCCCTTTTGGGGGGCCTCAATTTCCTCATATGTATAGTGAGGGGATTTGACCTGATGGTCTCCTCTAAAGTCCCTTCTAGAAGTGGTAACATTCTAATTTAGGCCATACCACACTGAGCTTTATACACAAATACAAATTAAGTTAGCGATTTATCAACCAGAAACAAATTAAACCTTTTTTGTTAGAAAATTTCAAACCTACATAGTAGTAATAATAGAATAAGTACAATGAACTCCTATGTACTAATCACTCAGCTTTAACTATCAATAATACATTATAAACAACTCCATCTAACATATTCATTTGTTCTTGTAAACACTCGGATGAATCTAAGAGGTAAGTGTCTTCTTTTTAAAATCTAACCATAATACCATTATCACATCTGACAAAATTAACCATATGCTTAATAGCATCTAATTGCCAATCCATGTTCAGTTTTACTCAACTGACTCTTTAAAATTGGTTTACCTAAACCAAGTTCTACAAAAGGTTCCCCCAAACCCTCTCCCCATGGTTGCTATTGGTTGATGTGTCTTAAGTTCTTTTAACATATAACAGATTTGCTCTTTTTATTTTTACATGCTTTATTTGTTATAGAAATTGCTCATTTTGTCCTGTGGAATTTCCCACATTCCATTTGGTTGACTGTATCTTAGTCCATAAGTAATTATTTTTAAATTTAGTTATGCTCCTCAGCTAGACCAAGCTGCATAAGGGAAGAACCATGTATTATTTACATCTTTTGTATTCCCACAGAGCCTACCTGTATTGGGTCACATATCTTGGTTCACTAAGTTAGACTACCTGGCCTAGGCATAGTGAATAATTTTAGAGAAAATTTAAGGCTCTCTTTAGTTATTAGATTTTGTCAATGAGGTTTAAAATTAGAACAAGAATGCTACTCTTTGTAAGATTATAAATCACAGAACTTCAGCATCTGCAGGGAAATGATAAGAATCAAATGACTTCATTTTACAGAAAAGAAAACTAATTTCCAGAGTTAGTGACTTGCAGAAAACCATATACCCCCGTATGGGCAAAAGACTAAAATCCAGGTCTCCAAGATCTAAAATCTAGTGCTCTTTACTTTCTACACTAAATCAATGTAGAAAACAGAAAGTTCATTCTTATCTTTAACCACATCAAATATTAAAGGGAATCTTAGCAATAATTAAAGCTCTATCCCTCTTTCCTTTTATTACCATCTCTTTTGTTTTATAAAATTAGATGCATGCACATGCACATACATACTAAGTAAATAACAATGATTTCTCTAAAGTCTAGTAATAATCACTTTATAATCCATGTGACATGTAATTAAGGAGAAAGGGAAAATGATAAAGTCAGAAAACCTTTGACGCACTATTTACTACACATTAATTTATATCTCACAGAGATATTATTTCAATCAGCTACTTGCTAACAGCTTAAACACAGAAAAGGTGCTGTTTAAATGCAAAAATTATAATAGATACATATTTCATTATAAGAAACAAATTTCCTTCCTGTAGTATCTATAAAGCAATATGCTTATTTTTAAAACTCAGGTTCAACCAGAAAGTTTATTGTGAAAACCCAGCTGACAAATAATTTATGCAGCACTTCCACATTAAGAAGCTTTAGAAAAACTATATTGGTAACAAAAAAAAATGGTAACATCAATGTAATTTTAATCTACCCCTTTAAAAGAAAAAGATGTCTTTAAAAGAAAAAGCCAGTCAACAAAAGTAAATATTGATAATTTGGACTTTATCAAAATTTAATTTTTGCTCTGGGAAAGACTGCGAAAAAATATTAAAAGACAAGCTACAGGAGTTGGAGGAGGGAGACACCAGGAAGGAACCGGCGCAGCGACTGCACCGCCCCCGGGGAGGGGCACCGGGAGGCCGAGCGGGAGCGGGAGCGGGAGCGGGAGCGGGAGCGGGAGCGGGAGCGGGAGCGGGAGCGGGAGCGGGAGCGGGAGCGGGAGCGGGAGCGGGAGCGGGAGCGGGAGCGGGAGCGGGAGCGGGAGCGGGAGCGGGAGCGGGAGCGGGAGCGGGAGCGGGAGCGGGAGCGGGAGCGGGAGCGGGAGCGGGAGCGGGAGCGGGAGCGGGAGCGGGAGCGGGAGCGGGAGCGGGAGCGGGAGCGGGAGCGGGAGCGGGAGCGGGAGCGGGAGCGGGAGCGGGAGCGGGAGCGGGAGCGGGAGCGGGAGCGGGAGCGGGAGCGGGAGCGGGAGCGGGAGCGGGAGCGGGAGCGGGAGCGGGAGCGGGAGCGGGAGCGGGAGCGGGAGCGGGAGCGGGAGCGGGAGCGGGAGCGGGAGCGGGAGCGGGAGCGGGAGCGGGAGCGGGAGCGGGAGCGGGAGCGGGAGCGGGAGCGGGAGCGGGAGCGGGAGCGGGAGCGGGAGCGGGAGCGGGAGCGGGAGCGGGAGCGGGAGCGGGAGCGGGAGCGGGAGCGGGAGCGGGAGCGGGAGCGGGAGCGGGAGCGGGAGCGGGAGCGGGAGCGGGAGCGGGAGCGGGAGCGGGAGCGGGAGCGGGAGCGGGAGCGGGAGCGGGAGCGGGAGCGGGAGCGGGAGCGGGAGCGGGAGCGGGAGCGGGAGCGGGAGCGGGAGCGGGAGCGGGAGCGGGAGCGGGAGCGGGAGCGGGAGCGGGAGCGGGAGCGGGAGCGGGAGCGGGAGCGGGAGCGGGAGCGGGAGCGGGAGCGGGAGCGGGAGCGGGAGCGGGAGCGGGAGCGGGAGCGGGAGCGGGAGCGGGAGCGGGAGCGGGAGCGGGAGCGGGAGCGGGAGCGGGAGCGGGAGCGGGAGCGGGAGCGGGAGCGGGAGCGGGAGCGGGAGCGGGAGCGGGAGCGGGAGCGGGAGCGGGAGCGGGAGCGGGAGCGGGAGCGGGAGCGGGAGCGGGAGCGGGAGCGGGAGCGGGAGCGGGAGCGGGAGCGGGAGCGGGAGCGGGAGCGGGAGCGGGAGCGGGAGCGGGAGCGGGAGCGGGAGCGGGAGCGGGAGCGGGANAGGGCCCGACCTTCCACCTTCCCCTGCACCGCCCGAGCAGCCTGCGGCTCCTCAGGAGCCCCAGAAGCCCCCTGCCTCAGCCCGCAACCCCGGCGGGCGGGCCTCGGCGGTGCCACAACTCATCCCCGCTCGGAGGCGCAGGTCACGCGGGGCCCCATCACCGAGGACGCGCTCCCGTGTCGTTCCTCCTTGGGGAGAAGCTCTGCTCCGGGGTCCTTACGGATCTGTCCAAAAGGTTTGGGCCCCGTGGGATCCCTGTGACAGTATTTCCCAAAAGGGAATACAAGGATAAACCTGAAGCCATGCAGCTGCAAAGGAATACATTCCAAGAAGGGCCAGAAGTCAAGTGCGAGGTGAACGGTGCTGCTCCCGACGACCCTTCTGTCCCGCCGCCCGAGCGGAGCGTGGCTGAAAGCCTGTGGACTTCCACGCCGCCACCACTCTCCCATGAAGGAGCACCTGACCCTCCCGCTTTGTTTATCAGGGACACACATAACCAACCATACCTCAGCCACCTCCTCGGAAAATTAAAACGAAAAATGTACAGGGAAGAACCTACTTCAGTAATGAATGCTATTAAAGTTCTGTGTGACAAATGTAAAAACAGTGTCGTTGCTAAAAAAAAAGGAAATTAGAAAAGGTAGTAGTGCAAGTGACTCTTCCAAATATGAAGATAGAAAATGGAGAAATGAAAGCGTAACTACTGTGAACAAAAAACTCAAAACTGACCATAAAGTGGATGGGAAAACCCAAAATGAAAGCCAGAGAAGAAATGCTGTGGTTAAGGTTTCAAATATTGCTCACAGCAGAGGTAGAGTAGCCAAAGTTTCTGCTCAGGCAAATACATCAAAAGCTCAGTTAAGTACTAAAAAAGTGCTCCAGAGTAAGAACATGGATCATGCAAAAGCTCGGGAAGTGTTGAAAATTGCCAAAGAAAAGGCACAAAAGAAGCAAAGTGAAACCTCTGCGTCCAAAAATGCATATTCAAAAGTCCATTTCACACGTCAGTATCAGAATCCTAGCTCAGGTTCCCTTCCACCCCGGGTTCGTTTAAAACCCCAAAGGTACAGGAATGAAGAAAATGACTCTTCTCTGAAGACAGAACTTGAGAAAATGTGGAGTGGCAAGCTGGCACCCAAGCCCCAGTCTCGCTGCACCTCTACCCGCTCAGCAGGTCTCAACAAATGGCAACTATTACATCAGACAGTGACGAATCCTGCTGCTCCCTTACAGTGGCTGACAGACCACTGTGGATTCAGACTGGGAGCACTGAAGTTCACAGTGAGACGGGCAGCACAAAGACATTCGCAGGCTGCTGGTTTCGTGGACCTGTGCCACAATGACAGAGAACACCAGAGCACCAGGATTGAATGAAATTGGAGACTCAGATTTTTAAAGCTGCACTAAGTAAATGTTCAGGCAGCAGTTACAATCAACAGTCTCTAAAGGGGCACCTGCAAATTGTGCTATATTAAACCGAAGAAAAGGTATTAGGGGAATATTTTCTAAAATAAAAACTACTGCAATAAATAATGCATGAGACGAGAAAAGTGATGTGAAATACGCACACGAAGAATCACTGACAGTAACTTCCTTTGATTGTGAAGCTCTTATCAGTACAGTTTGGACAGGCCTGAAAGGCATGGGATGATGGCAGAAATGTTGCATTATCTTTCGTACTAAAACTTTGTGCTTTCTCCAAGGTTTATGTTACTCAGTTCAGTATGAGCAAAGGTATTTCTAAAATGACTCGCCTATGAAACTGCAATGGTCACATATGCTGAGACCAATGTTCCCTTCAGGGTGCCAGTGGAAACGACAGGAAAGATTTAACATTGTGCTAAAAGGATGGCAAGGTACCCCCACCCTGAAATTTGGACCTTTTCTTTCTTTGATAAAGCAGGGCTGTATTACCTTGAATATATGTTTGCTTCTTAGGACATATTAAGATATATTTCTTTGCCACCAGTATTTAACATTTTGTGCACATTTTCATAACTACATTCTTAACTTTTAAATTCTGAGTCAGCATAGAGAGGCTAGTATTGATCTCGGAGTGAAAATGTATACTCTGAAAGCTAGTCCTTAAATCTACTGAACTGAACTGGAAAGGCTTTTTACTCTTCCTATCTGTACTGATTATATCTAGATCCGAAAAGGTGACAAATCTGAATTCTGATGTGGCCCTCTCTCCACAGAGAGCCCCTGCTTCCGTCTAAGTGCAAGAAATTCTTACAGGTGGGACTTGCCCCTGGGGAACAAGCAGCAGGAAAAGGCCCATAAAGGTGGTGTCAAGCTTTTCATGAATAGAGCATGAACTGTTAATGCTCATAATGTTTTTATCTTTGCAAAATACGTATTATAAAAAGAAAGCTTGATTTTTCTTTTTTAATAAGTGGAGAAGACAATGAGAAAACCAGATTAACCTGTTAGTACTACATTTTTAAGGCATTTTATATTTGACAGTGCCGTACTTTTAATAAAAAAACTGAAGTTTTTTAGTGGCAATACTGACTTATTTTTTAAACTAGAAAGATAATCCTTATTGATTATGTAATACAAAAAAGGGGAGGAAAATGCAAAAAAAAACAGTTCTTTTGAAGCTACATAACAGATAACTGAGCATTTGGCTTAAGTGTTCACTTTATTTCATAATCTTACTGTGTAGGTTTGGGATTACTTAACTCCGTACTCAGGATTAACAAAAGGTTCTGGGTGCAAGTTTTAGAACATTTCATATACCTGACTAAGGATTTGTTTTATAACTCAAGAAGAAAAGGTAGGCAATCTTGTTTCTGTGAGTTTAATGCAAATCCTAATTACACTGAAAGTAAAAGGTTTGCCTGCATTCTAAAATTATCTTTTTGGAAAAGTATTTATCATGAAGTCATTACACATGTGATGAAATCTGAAAAAGTCAGCTCAGGAACGGTGCCAGCAGGGAGTCTAAAGATTACCTGTCTCAGTGGCACCCAACTCTGTCCATCCTGTCCTTCAGCTGTATTAACACCAGCAGTACCTTTCAGGTTCCCTTCAAGAATCAGACAACTCCCAAGCCACATGGGCTGTATAATCAAGAATTTTAATTAAGCTTTAGCATTACTTATGCAAGAGTGATGGAAATTACCAAGGAGTAATATAACGGCAAAAGAATTGAAATTAGGTTTTAAGTATCTATTTTTTCCTCATGACAAATTCTTAAAGGTGTTCTGTTATAAACCAGATTTTCATTTTTTAAAAAATGAAACTTGGTGGTATTTAAAATCTAGACATACCATGTTGCTGTTTCACTTTCATTGCTTTAGTTGCTTAATATTTAAGCTTTGCTTCATGCTACCTTTGTCTGTATTTCATATCTTCAGAAGCCTATTTCATCTTGTAGACTTGAATGACAAAAATTGTTTATCATCTGAAGTATGCTGAGACATAAATGTTAAAAGAATGTTGTGTAACATTTATCCAATAAAGTCTTGATATTTTAAAAAATAATAATAAATAAAAGATAAAAAATAAATAAAAATTAAAAGACAAGCTACAGACTGGAAGAAAATACTTGCAGATCAGTATCTGACAAATAACTACTATCTAGACCGTATAAAGAACTCTCAAAACTCAACAGAAAAAAATACAATTAGAAATGGCCAAGAAATATGGACATCTCACCAAATATGCACATGAAAAGATGTTCAACATCATTCATTAGTTTTCAGGAAAATACAAATTAAAACCACAATGAGATATCACTATATACCTATTAGAATGGATAAAATAAAATACCAAAAGCTGGCAAGGATGAAGAGGAATTAGATCACTTATACACTGCTGGTGGGAATGTAAAGAGTACAACCATTTTCCTAGGCAGGTAGCTCACTAGCTCAGTTGCTTAGAGCATCGTCCTGATACCCCAAGATTGTGGATTCGATCCCCAGTCAGGAAAGGCACATAGAAAACATACAAGAATCAACCAATGAACACATAAATAAGTGGAATAACAAAGTGATCTCTCTCTCTCTCCTCCTTCTTCCTCTCTCTCTCAAAAATCAATAAATGATAATTTTTTTAAAAAAGAATAAAATAGTACAACCACTCTAGAAAAGTTTGGCAGTTTCACATAAATAAAAACAAGTAACTACTATATGGCCCACCAATTGGATTTGAGGGCACTTATCCCAGAGAAATAAAAATTTGTTATCATAATATACCTGTATATGAATGTTTCTAGCTGCTTTATTCATAATCGCCAAAAACTGAAAATAGCCCAGATGTCCTTTAACAAAGAGATGGTTAAACAAACTATGCTACAAACATACCACACAATACTACTCAGCAATAAAAAGGAACAAACTATTGATACAGGCAACAACTTGGATGAATCTCCAGAGAATTATATGCTGCGTGAAAAAAACCAATCCTACAAGGCTACGTATGTTGTATGATTCCAATTATATAACATTTCTGAAGTGACAAAATTTTAGAAATGGGAAATAGTTTACTGGGGAAAGTGAGGGGACAGCAGGAGGAAGGTAAGTGTGGTTATAAAAGGAACACTGAGGGTTCCTTGTGGTGACAGAACTGTTCTGTATCTTGACTGTGGTGACGGATACATATACCTACCTATGCATGTTATAAAACTGTATGGAACCAAACACACACACAGAAATGAGAACAAGAAAAACTGGGGAAATCTGAATAAGATCTGTCGATTGCATCAATGTCAATATCCTGGCTGTGATATTCTATTACATAGTTGTACAAGATGTAACCACTGGATGAAGGGCACGTGGAATCTGTTATTTCTTATAACACGCATGTGAATATAAACAATAAAACTACAGTTAAAAACAGAAGGCCTCAATGTTATGTCAATTATACTTCAAATTTTTTTTTAAATCCAGCTAAAAAGCCCTAGCGGATTTGGTTCAGTGGTTAGAGTGGTGGACTGAAGAGTCCCAGTTCAACTTTGGCCAAGGGCACGGACCTCAGTTGCCCTGTTTGGGGCACCTGCAGTAGGTAACCAATCGATGTGTCTCTCTCACATCAATGTTTCTCTCTCTGTCTCTTCCACTCTCTCTGAAAAAGCAATGGAAAAAGTATCCTTGGGTGAAGATTAAAAAAAATCCAACTCGGCCGGGCATGGCTCAGTGGTTGAGCGCCAACCTAGAACCCCGGGGTTCGATTCCCGGTCAGGGCACATGCCCCGGTTGCGGACTCGATCTCCAGTCGGGGGTGTGCAGAAGGAAGCTGATCAATGACTCTCTCATCACTGCTGTTTCTATCTCTCTCTCTCCCTCTCCTTCCCTTTCTCTGAAATCAATATATATAAAAAAAAAAAATCCAGCTAAAAAAACAAAAGACCATGTTTATATGGAAATCTTCCTCAATTCTTTCTCCTTTGCTGTCATATGTTTAAATCCATCTTTGAGTGTTCCTTATGTGCAAGGTGAGCAGCTTCAATTTTCCCCCAAGTAACTTATAATTCTGTGAAACAGGACAAGAACCCCCAAAAAACATAATACAAGGTAGATTATTTAGAATATTAAATGTCACAAGAGAGGCATAACAGATGAATGGATGGATAAACATATCATATCCAAACAATGAAATATTATTCAGCCATAAAAAAGTATGCCAATCTGATATATGCTACAAATTGGATGAATACTGAAAATATCATGCTCAGTGAAATAAGTCAGAACCACACCAGTACAAATACTGTCTGATCCCACTTATAGGAGGTACCTACAATAGGCAAATTCATAGAGGCAGAAAGTAGATGAGAGGTTACCATGGGCTGAGGAGAGAGGGGAACGGGAGTTATTGTTTAACAGTTACAGGATTTTTATTTGGAGCGATGAAAAAGTCTGGAAATGGATAGTGGTGATGGTTGTACAACCCTGTGAATGTACTTAACGCCACTGAATTGTACACTTAAAATTAGTTTAAATACTAATACATAGTTTAAATTTTTTATAACATAAAAAATTTATGTTATATATTTTACTACAGTAAGAAAAATAAAAAGAATTTCATAGCAGCTTAATTCATATTAGCCCAAACCTGAAAAGCCCAGGTGTTAATCAATAGGAGAGTAGATATGCAATACTACTCAGCGATAAAATGAAACAAAATACTAATGATAAATCTCAAAATATTATGCTGAGTGAAAGCAAAAGGGTACAAACTGTATGATTTCATTTATATGAAGTAAAACAAGCAAAATAAATCAGAATAGTGGTTACTTCTGTGTGCATATGTTGGGAGCAGAGACTGACTGGGGAGGGAAATGAGAGAACTTTCTGGAGTGATAGAAATGTTCTGTGTCTTGATCGGTTATACAGGTAAATGCATTTGTCAAAGCTCATCAGATTGTGGACTTAGGATTTGTGCATTTCACTTATGAAAGAAATAAAAAAATCACGAACAGTATTGAACTCTAACAATATGTGTGCTGAACTGTTTAGGGTTGAAGTATACTGATACAATCCACTTTAAACTGCAACAAAAAATATGGACTGAGGGATAGGCAGATTAATAAATGTGATAAAGCAAATACAGCAAAGCGTTAATAATCATAAAATATAGGTGGTGGGTACACAGGTGTTCATTATATAATTCTTTCAAGTATGAAAATATTCATAAAATGTTTGGAAAAAATACATACCAACAAAACAGTTGTTTCTCTTCTTCTCAAGAACTTGGCTTATATTTCTGATGCTACAGAGTGAGAATTTATTGTTGTTAAGTTTGTCCCCAGATGTTGCTCTTGCATACATGATATAATTGCCATTTTCTTTTTGTCCCAAATTCTTAGATTCTCCTGGAGTGCACTCTGTTCCAGAATCATGCTGTCAAACAGAATATAGAGTTACATAAACAGGGAAGTAAAATAAGGTTTTCAGGTCATCTGATTAAAAGTAATATTCTCATCAGAAGAACAATGGAAGCTTGTAGATTCTCCTTTAGAAAAGATCTTACAATTGTTTTAGACTGTGAGATGGAAAACAATCTGCTCTTTTAAGGCTGCTGTCTTAGAAGGGAAGGAAAAAATCAGTGAAGTTCTAACCACAACTTAGAGCTTTGTTACATAGGGAGTAGAATGCAGGACAAATTATCATAAAAGTCTATTAAAAATAAGTTCACCTACTTTTTAAAACTAGTAACAGGAATATAAACTATTTAAAATATACTAAATATTCATTAAAATACATGTTAAATTACATGTTCTGGCCAGTTCAGAAAAGACAGAGGTAGGGAAAGACAGGAAACAAGAGAGAATGGCATGAGGCTAAGTACATACAGGACAGGCATCTAAGGGAGTTGAGGACTTAATATTACATAAGAAAGAAAGTAAATGCCGAGTAGGGATAGAAACACAATGATCTATTTTTAAATGAAAATTAAGAAAGGCCAAGAGGTAAAACCAAAACACTGCTTTGTGGAATAAAACAGGCGACATACATGTCTATGCACAGAGATAATTTATGGTGTTGGTAACTAAACTATTACTGAAGTATCAGATACATACAGAAAAGTACCAAACCACAGCTCCGTGAATTTTCTCAAAGTAAATATACTTACATGACCAGCACTAAGATCAGGAAAGAGAGCACTACCAGATCACAGCCGGTCTCCCCAGCCCTTGGGGGATATGCATTTAAAAACAAAACAAAGGAACCTCACAATGTTCCACTAACAACAATTCAGAACTTGTCAGTAAGGGTGAAAAACAATGGGTCCTGAGTAATAGTTTTCTTTAATTAAATTGTTTTGAATGCCCCACAACCCTACTCTCCAGAGAGAAAAGGACTGACCACAGGCATTCTGTTTCTTCCTAGAATCTATCTAAGTCACTTGCATTTTCTACTCCCTAATCTGAAGCAACTATTAAAGCAACTACTTTCACCTTTATTCTTCCTGTTTCCTCTTGCCTTTCTCCTGTACCTAGGTTCAGTATTTAACAACTCTTTACTATTCACCAATATTATCTTGCTTTATGTTTTCATTCTAGAATTCAATTTGGTTTCTGATCATGTATGGCACTAGAATTATTCTCAGCATTAGAATTTCAGAAAGAGAAAGAAAAAATTCCAATTCGACGTAATACAAAAAAAACCTGAACTATGAAAATATAAAGATGAGTTAAGCACTGTCCCTAGCCCTCAAAGGAATTACATTTTATTTTAAAGGGCTAGCAAATTTTTTCATTTTAATCCTCACAAGAGGATATTTTTTCCCCATTGCTTTTCAGAGAGTAGAAGGGAGAGAGGGACAGAGAAACATCAATGTGAGAGAGACACATCAACTGATTGCCTCCCATAAGCACCCTTGGCTGGAATCAAACCTGGGACCCTTTAGCCCACAGGCTGATGCTCTAACCACTGGGCCATACCGGCTAGGGCAATGGCCAGCAAATTTTGATATCCTTGCCTAGTCTGACTCCCTGCCCTATTTCCATTACAGATATCGCTAATCAATTACTATTTTATTAGCCCCTAGGAGATTGTAATGGATTACTATTAATAACCATAAAAGGAAGAACAAATTATAAATAAGTATACCAGCTCTCTGTTATCTTCAGAACAGGGAATAAACAGGCACACAAATAAGCAAAACATAAAACAGAATATAAAGCCCATCTTGACTGTACCCCCAAAAAGTGCTGTGAGAGTTCAAATAAAGGGAATGTTTCACAAAGAAAACTATAATCTTAGTTTGATGAGAAAAAAGAAAAGCTTTTTCCTGACTAGAGAAACATAAAAATTTTAGAAAATAAAAAACAGATTAAAAAAAAATTCAATCATAATCCACCAACCACAATGACTACTTTTAACATTTTGGTCCATTTCCTACCTGACTAGTAATATCGTATTTTAATACAAAATTTGGGTTATATTTTATGTACAGTTATAGAAATGGTTTCTTTCAGTTTAACAGTACAGGGCAAGCATTCAAAAACTTTATTTTTAAATGATGGCAGAGCATTCCATGATACTTACTTGTGTGGGGCATTTAGGCTGTTTAAAATTGTTTGCTATTATAAATAAAATGGCCATGCATATCTTTTTATTTTTATTGTTGAAATGTATACAAATCTTTGACAGAGTCTGCATTTCTTTTAGTTGGATTCCCAGAGGTAGAGTTACTCAGTAAAAAGGTCAAACACTTTAAGGGTCTTGATACACACTGCCAAACTGCCTGACAAAAGGGCCATATTAATTTACATTATATAACAGCATGGATTAAGATTCCAACAGGCACAGAAGGGAAGGAATTGGCTTCATGGCAGAAGGAAAGTTTTAGAGAACTGTAAATTACCTAATTTGACAAGAGACAGGAGATAACACTGAAAATATACTTGGACCCAAATTATGGAAAACCCTAAATGCTAAGATAAGGAAATTATATCAGCAGGTACTAGAAGTAAGCTGTAAACAGAAGTGGCATGATCAGAATGATCAGAACCATATCTAGACAAAGATTAATCTGGTAAGAGTGGGCACGTATTAGAATTTTCACATTGAGAGACAGAATTTGTCTCATTTATGATTACAGCTTCCCACAACAAAGCTTATAAAATGGTTAACAATAGGTGTGCAGTAATATTTGGGAAAAGATAAATAAATATAAAGAATAGTGTGAACCACTCAGAGAGAAAGTAACATTGACATAGTATACAGATTTATAGCAGGAGAGATAAAGACAGATTTTCAGATAAAGATCTCAAGGAAGACAGGCTCAGGAGTTTATGGTTCTGGCTGATCTTACTATTAAATTACTTAATAAATATTTACTATCTACTATGTATATGAATGGTAGCATGAACAACATGTACAAAGGAATGGGGTGTGTTTAAGCATGAAAGAACCATTAAACCTAGCTTGAAATTGAGATAGGGTATATGGCAAAAGGGATGTAACTGATAAGGATTATCACGAAGATAGTAAGACCAACCCCCAATGGATTTATGGCTTAGAACCAACAGAAGGCCAGCTCATCCAACACTGCGATTAATTTCACCTTGCAGTAACTCCTAGCCTCATTATTTGCTCATTGTAATATATTAGCATATTAAACTACTCCCCCACACACACATAGAAAAGAAAGCCAATATAAGGACACAAAATGGCCATCAGTGCTGTTCCAAGAAGTCTTCACCCCTTTCCTGGAAAAACCTTGAACATTCTTTTCCCTTATTGAATGCCCTACCCCTCAATTAAATGAGCCTCAGTAAAAGGAGTAAATCCCACGAGGGAGGGGCTGCTATATCCGTGGAGTAGCGACTCTCTGTCTCACTGTTTCACTAATAAACTCTCTTTTACTTTAAACTCTATGCTGACTTGTCTCAGCTCTTTCCCGATGGAAGCCAAGAATCCCACAGTGGGTCACAGATCTTCAGATTCCAGGACCCCTGGAATGCCTGCATCAGTATGACAGGAAAATATGGCAAGACAGACAAAATATGTCAACCAATTTATCCATTAAATAATAAGTAACGTAACATTCATATACTAAAAACACCTCTCCATCAACTGGGTAGGGGATGGATTAAAAATGAAGTGAAAAGAGAATAGACTAGATTCCCTACTCCAAGTGTGGTCCACATCAGCAGCAAAGCGAGTTTCTTAGAAATGTGGAAATTCATGCCCCACCAAAGACTCACTGAACAGAAATCTGTATTTTAAGATCCTCAGTAGTTTATATGAACATTCAGCTTTGATAGGACCTAGACTAAAGGATAGAAGAGTAGTTAGAAGGGTGCTACATTTCCCTTGGTAAGCAGTCAAGAGAGAGACAGTAAATACATTTTAACTATTTTCTCAAAGAGTATTGATAATAATCTGTTGATTTCTGATTGGAACTTAGAAGAGGAAAGACTTGCAACTTAGTGAGATGACACTTATATTTTACAAGCTAAGGAAAATTACAGAAGCAGATTTCAGGATTTTAAACTACACTGTATATTTTTCTAGACTCATAAAATTTTCATTTTTACAAGTGATAAGGTACAAGTAAAATAAATTTACATATAGTTTTCAAATGAAATTTTCCCAACTTGTTATTTTAAAAAGCCCTATCAAAATCACAATGAACATCTTTCAATATTTTGCATTTTTGTGTACATTAATCTTTAGGTAATTTGAAAATCAATATAATGGACTGAGTATTAAATGATACCAAAGAATTGTTAATTTTGTCAGGTATCATAATCACACTGTGGCTATGGAAGAAAATGTCTATTTTTTTTTTAGAAATGTATAGTAAAATATGTAAGAATGAACGAATTTGCTTCAAATATCTTACAAATAAAAAGGAAGAAATAAAAAAAGGAAATGTAGCAAAATTCTGATAACCACTGAATCTGAATGCACGCCACAACCAGTTTTATATATCCTAAGCTAAAAATATTTCTTCCATGAATAAAGGATTGTAAAAACAACAAAGAAAAATATACAGCAGAAATGTTATCCTAAAGCCTAGAATATTTACTAGCTGGCCCTATACAGAAAAAGTTTGCTAATCCCTGTCCTGGATGATGAACATATGATAGTTTTGTTTTACTATTTTTCTCTACTTTTATGTATGTTAAAAAATTTTCATACTAAAAAATTTTAAAATATCAACCTCATTCCACAATAGAAAAAGATAAATCTAGTAAGTCCCAATAATGCTTTAAAAGAAACCAAGGAAAACAACTACTTCACAATTTGCTAACATTCAAAATGTACTTTAAATAATAAAAAGTGATTCTCCTTCAATGAATATTTTAATAAATCATGTACCAGACACTGTTCTAGGGCCAGGAGACATAGAAGTGAATGAAACAGACAAAATCCCTTGCCTTCATAGAATTCTGGCATTGGTAGGTTGATTTTTCTTATTTTAATCACAAATATTCTATTTTCCTCCCTTTCAGTATGGCAAGTACATAACTGTGTTCTGACATATAAAAACTAAACATTCATACATACTTGTTTTCATTGTAAACAAACAAACAAAAATCACTGACATAAAAGATAGGTTAATAACTTTTATTATTTTAATTAAAATCTAGTCATTAGGCAATACTTACTGGAGATCCAAAGTTATGTCCAACTTCATGAGCAAAAGTAATGTGAGATACTTTGGGGGGTACATGAGACCCATAGTTCTGAACAGTAATAATTCCAGTGTTTAAGGACTTCTTCTTACCATCTGAATAGAGCTTACTTTTTTCACATATTCCTCCAGAGCTTCCTAATTCAGAGCAAAAGATGGCTAAATTAGTACCTATTTTACCAAAAAAATTACTTTCTAAAATGTGCTACATTAAGACATTTTATATTTTGAGTCCAAAATACAACTGGTCCAAAATTAGGAAGTCATTTCAAGTAAAAGTTCTAATGAAGAAACTCTCAGGATTGAGTTCAAAGCCCTTATAAAATATTCTTCTTCATAATCAAGATGTCCCCAAATTTTGCTCCCATTAATTTAGAAAAACAAATATTTAAGTTTCTGTTAAATTTGAATATATGAGTATTTACAATGAGTCAAAGCTTATGCCTTTCATCTTTTAAAAGGAAAACTTTAAGTAAATGAAAGTTGAATAAAATATTCTCAAATAGATTCTGAGAAAGTGACCTCTACAAATAATAGTAGTGATGCACAGATGTATGTATGTGACTTGCTATCCTGAGAGGCAACATACAATATAGCAGTTGAGCATTGACCTATGAGCAAGGAAATAGCAGTTCGATTCCCAGTCAGGGCACAGGCCTGGGTTGTGGACTCGATACCCAGAGGGGGCGTGCAAGAGGCAGCCAACCAATGATTCTCTCATCATTGATGTTTCTCTCTCTGCCTCTCCCTTCCTCTCTCTAAAATCAATAAAGATCTATTTTAAAAAAAGAGGGAAAGGAAAGAATTAAGGGTTGCCAGGGGATAGGGGTGCAGCTGGGTGGGAGTAACAGGGAAAGATTGGTAAAAGGTACAAACTTTCAGTTATAAGATGAATAAAGTTTCACAATGTATATGAATAGCAAATCATTACAATGTACACTTCAAATATCTTACAATTGTATTTGTCAATTATACCTCAATAAAGCTGAAAAAAAGAATTATGTCAAATGGGTTAAAAAACAAAGGGAGGAGGGAAGGAAGGAGAGAGTGTGAAGGAAGAAAGGGAGAGCAAATATGGCAAAATACTACCTATCAGATATTCACTGTACTACTCTTGCAACTTTTTGGCATGTTTGAAATTTTTGTCAAAATAAATTCAAAAAACTGAATTATGATTTTCCAATGTGTCTTGAGAATATTTCCAAATTTTAAAAGGAAACCCATATTTTTACATATACATATTAAATCACTTTATAGCTCATTAATAGTTCCTTAACTTCAGAGCTTAATACCAAAATGAAACTGCTTTCACATCTAAAGGCAGTTAACATAAGAAATTAGAAAAAGAACAACATAAAGAAGCTGGCTGGTGAATGTATGTCTCTATTTACATTGTACTGAGAAAACCACAGTTCTCTTAATAACTCTATTGACGACTTTTAGTGAGAAGTTCTTTAATTTATATTCACATTTAAAAGGTTTCTTTATTTGATTTTGTTAAAATACAATCAAATGAATTAGCATATTCTGATAACTGATCAAACTATTTTAAATTAGCTTTCTACATGTACGCAAAGTTATCACCAAGTCATTAAATCATTTTTAAAAACCTAATATTTATAATCCCTGATAAAGCATATAATAAAAATCAACTAAAAATAGATCTGCAAGAATGGCATGGTACAATTGCTGTCTTGCTCCTTTTAAAATCAGAAAGTATATGGCAACAAAACATAAATTTGAATTACCGTTATGATACAATTTAGGAAGTAGAAATGATAATGTATTTCATAGAAAAGTAAACTGAAAGACTGAGCCAAACACAGATTTTAACCAGCAATGAATTGAGAACCTTTATGCTATTCAAAACTTACTACCTTTTCTACACAGAAAACTGAATAAAAAGGAAACAGCTAATGATTTATGAATATTTAATGTATTTTCTTAAGGCACCTCTACTTTTGGAGGTGAGTCCTAAGGACTATATCACTATTTCTAAAAACTAAAAAAAGACAGGAATAAGCACTCTGTATATAATAATAATAGTATACATGTTATAGTTTTGAACAAATAATAAATTAATATCCTGCCTTAGCGAAGATTTGTCATATGCAAATTGGTCCAATGTAGTACTGTCAAACTTGAATTAAGCATAGAAGACTCCACACTGCAAATTTATCAGTTAAAAAAAAAAGTAGAGAGCATATATTAAAAACTCTGATAATATACTTTTCTGTATTTTTAAGATCTATCTAGTATAAGAGAAGTTCATACATAAACTTGAGTGTATTTTCTGAAATATAGTCTTTATAATTCAGATCTTACTTAATGTCTTAAACAACTGCTTTTGGTCTATTACTTATAGGAAAGGTTAATATTTGTTACAGGCAAATAGCATACGTTGGAATAACCCACTTATACAGAAAGAAAGAAAATGCTATATCAAATTTTAAAAGCTATGGCTTAATTTTTTTTAATACTGTAACTAGTCGTGATATGCCAGAAATTAAATTATTGATCATATATATACCTCTAACTAAACCACAACTGAAGGTCAGCAATTGCTTTATATTATAAATTTAAAATTTACTGCATATGTCATCACTAAAAACACAATTGTTAATAACAATAAAAAGGGTAAAATGTTTTAAATTCAAGTCAAAAGCAATTACTGATGGATGGATGACTCAAATACCAAAAAGGAAGTATAATCACATTTTTCTATCTACAGGATAGTCTGAGAGCTAAAGTCATAGAATAACAGCCCTAAACTTTAAAATAGACCCCCTGCCCTCAAAATTTAGAAAAACTACAAAAGTAATATAACACCTTGAGTCCAAAAATACAGTTGTTGTTCTTTGTGTGTTAATCCTCGCCCCAGGATATTTTTTCCATTGATTTTGAGAGTGTGTGGACAGGGGCCGGGGGAGAGAGAGAAACATCAATGTGAAGGAGACACATCAATTAATCGCCTCCGCACATACCCCAACACAGGCTGGGGATCAAACCTGCAACCCAGGTACATGCCCTTGACTGGGAATGGAACCCGAGACCCTTCAGTGTACAGCCCAATACTCTAACCACTGAATAATATTGCCAGGGCCAAAAAATACAGTTTTTATGTGAGCAGGCCTAAGTACCTAAAAGTTAGTATGCTGACCATACAATATTGATCTGAGTTGTAATTCTGAACCAGACAGTAGTACCAATCCCAGATAGATTATTAAGAAATATCTGAAGGCATTTCTTTGTCTTTCATGTCTGGGGGACAGTACTCACATGCAATGAGTAGGGACCAGGTGTTAAACATCCTGCAAGGGACAATCCAGACCTGAACAAAATGCCAATATTAAGTGTTCTGTTGCAACATTCTAATGATGTAACTCTTTTAGCCTTTTAATTAGACTTTTAAACAGGTTAAGAACTCAACAGACTGTTGATTATCTTGAGAACCCATGTTGAGCTCTGTATGCCTTCAAATCCTAATATGTAAAATTAAAGTTTCTAAACTAAGAAAAACAGAAGAGACTATTTCTACCAAATGAAATGTCTCAAAAAATTTTCTTCACAAATGGTCAGAGGAATATTGAGTGGTTCAGGATTAACTATGGAGAGGAATTCCAGAGCTAGCATTGTTCAGTGGCCTGTACAAAGTGAGACTACATTCATGTTAACTGATAACATTAAGATGGATAATATATGAGCAGAATGTACCATAATAACCCCCAAAAATGGCCCCTCAAAAGGCGTATTAGAAGAGTACAGCAAGTGAAGTAGAACAAAGGAATTATTTAATATGAAGAGTTTACTTTGTTAAGGAACCAATGTTTCAGTCTCTAAATAAAAGGCTACCTGCTTAACATAGTACTTACATAATGCTCAAAGTAATCTTTCCAGGTTCATATTCAAGATTGACTTTGTTTTGGAGACCGACTCCCTTTTAATGGGCTCTCTTCAAGGCCCAGTATAATTTTAAATTGGAGCCTCCAAGTCAGCCCAGTTAGTTAGTTGTTTCTACTTATTATGTAGTTGAGGCACAAGATAACATTTTCCTCATCAACAAAACCCAAGACAGCACCCAACTACAGTATGAAATTAAACAAATAAAAAGTAGTGTAAAACAGACTGGAAGATAAGAAACCTAATATTAGAATGTTTCACCCTTCATTATTTTCCCTGGCTTAACTTAGTGAAAGGGAAATAGCTAATAATGTAATTGTCCTGTGAAAAATAACATAACAATATCACAACAAAATCCTTCCCACTACCATATATTTGAACAGTGAAATATCTACAGAATTAAATAAAATGAAAGAATTAAAATTAGGCCAAATAAAAATGAAAACAAAAGTAAGAAAAAGTAACAGATCATAAGTTGAACAGATCAGCTATGAAATGCTATTTAAAACAACAAAAAACAAGTGCAAGCATTACTAAGATCTATAGACATAAACATGAAGTCTCAAAGGAAGGGCAAAGACAGAACATATTAAGGTGAAAAATAAACAAGCTGAAGTAAAATAATTTACCTGAATTTACAGAAACAGAAAAGACAAGTATCCAGTCTTATAGCTCCCAATCCAGTGCTCTTCCCATTATGCCATAACAGTTATCCAAAATGATATTAAATATTATAGAGTAGTACTATTTTATAACTGCTCTCTCTTAAGAAGGAAATGGATTCCAACAATATAAAACCTCTACTAAGATGCAGGAAACATTTCAACTTATTAGAAATGTCTTAAAAGAGAAAGCTAGAATGTGACAGTATGCAACATCTAGTAAAATAACTACCAAATGCACTAAACCTGGAGTCAAAAGGTCCAGATTTTAGGTTTTGTGTGATACTGAGTTGGTTAATCTCTGAACTCAAGTTTTCTCATATTCTCCAAAGAGGACATACAGATGGCCAATACACATATGAAAAGATGCTCAATGTCACTAATCATCAAAGAGACGCAAATTAAAACCACAATGAGATATCACCTCACATCTGCCTGAATGGCTACCCTCAACAAATCAACAAACAAGTGCTGGCAAGGGTGTGGAGAAAAGGGAAACCTAGTGAATTGTTGGTAGGAATGCAGACTGGTGCAGCCACTATGGAAAACAGTATGGAGTTACCTCAAAAAATGAAAAATGGAATTGTCTTTTGACCCAGTGATCTCACTTCTGAAAATACATCCTAAAAATCCTGAACCACCAATCAGAAAGAATATATGCATCCCTATGTTCATAAGTGTTATTTACAATAGCCAAGATCTGGAAACTGCCCAAATGGTCATTGGTAGATGAGTGGATAAAAAAGCTATGATGTACTTACACAATGGAATACTACGCAGCTGTAAACTCATATTTCTTTTAACTAGGCTACTGAACTTATTAAACTATAACTCATAGACCCTCACC